ATCACCATGACGTTTGCTCGCGTGTGTGCGGAGGGGATGGGGGGAGGGGGGGGCTGTATATATTTATGTGTGCGTAATTGTATGTGTATGCGTGTGTGTATGAATGTATGTGTGTGTGTGTATGTGTGTATGTGTGTGTGTGGAGGAAATTTGTATTTAAAGACAACCCTTCAGAATATTAGACTGAACGGTGACTGTGTTACAGACAAGATAATCATTTACACCCACTTTACATTTACAATTATTCCAGATGATAAACACGGATTATGGGCGTTTGTGTTGTAGCTGTTAGGTTTTTCGCTGTCGCACGCAAAGACCCGAGTTCGATTCCTGGGTGCGAAGAAAAGTTTCATCGAGTAAATCTGTCTTTGTCCTAGGATATAGTAGGCCTATACCTCTCAGCTTGGGTGGCCCTGACAGACTGGGTTGAAAGCCCGCCTTCTAAATATTCTAAATACTGTCAATAGGAGCCTAAATGTACCTACATTTTGTTTAAACACGGATCTTTTTTTCGAAAACATTCTGTCTCTGTTTCTCCAGGAACTTTAGGCCTAAAGTCTGGAACCAGTTACCCCAGAATATCCGTGAAGCCAGTTTTTAGACTTGTATTGAAGAAAAAGCTGAAACACCACTTATTTAAACGAGATAAGATAAGATAATACTATATTATCACAGAGGGACATTTTTCTTGGCTGTACAAGAACGTAAAAACACATGCACGTATACTTAAAAAATTTAATGATATATTACTCGCATTAAAATTCAATAAGAGAAGAGAAGCAGCCAAAATGTACATGATCACATCAGATGCATCATTGAACCACATGCAGGAATCTAATTATAAGACCTTTAGAGTTATATAGATACATACTCAAAAGAGCTACACATCGATGCTTATTCTAACAATAGCATTAAGCCAGATGGCAAAAAAAGCTTCTTTTATATCTTTCAAACGCCTTGTCAAACTAAGGTTTAAGACCTAACTCTGGCCTTGGCCCAATTAATCTGACGAGCCTCTGCAAGGACTCTGTGCATAGAATATGTTTACATGTTGCTGTTACGATTAGCTTTTTTTTTTACAGGAAATGAAAAATGTCAGTTCTATTCAAAATTACTGATCAAAATAAGTTAGCGTTAAAGATAAACTATTGGAATACAAACCTTCATATTATTATTTAGTAGAGGTTTTACGGCACTCGCAAGTGCATAAGGTCATATGAGCGCCAAGGGGTGGGTGTCAACAGAGAAGTCTTTAACAGGGAATCAGACTTAC